GGAGCCCGGCTTTGCTACTCACACCAGCACGAAACCGGGGCGCGTCCCGTCGCTTGCGGTGCTTCGGGGCGTTGTCCGCCGGTGTCAAACTGAACTGCGAAGGCCGCTTAAGCGGGCGCTTTCGCCCTGTAGAAGCTAGCAGAACGCACCTTTCTTGGCGTCTCTGAGTAATGTGCACCCTTTCACGCGTGTTTTTTTCCCCTTGTGCTTGAAAATACGAAAAGGAAGGTGCGTGATCCCCGAGCCAACTTTGAGCAATCCCTACGTGTGCTGAAGCACGCTAAAGAGGTCCAGCCTGGCGTCGTTTCTAAAACCTCCATTATGTTGGGGCTAGGCGAGACAGATGAACAAGTATATTCGACAATGAAATGTAAGTTGGTATCAAAATATGTGCCAAAATTCACAGGTGCGAATTTTACGGTGCTGGAAAACAGTTGGAAGCATCTTTGCCTCTACGTGCAAATCGGTTTGCTGGTGCAGGAAATGTTTGCTAAGCTTTGTGGGGGGAAAAAAAAAGTTTGGTTAAAAAAGATGGACCTTCTGAAATATTTTGCCTTCATATGGCTTTCAGATGCAATTTGACAGGTAGAGCCAGCTCCCATTGATTTCCATGGAAGTTATAACTGTCTTTGTGTGACTATATTAATATTCTTATCTTTGCAATACTTAAATAATGGGCTTGCAACATAGTTGCCTTATTGTGCATTCCTTTTTAGAAATAGCAGACGTTATTGTTCACAATAATTTATTTCGGCTTACTCAGATGTAAAAAAAGTTACTATCCTCGGAGTTGCAGCATATTCATGTTTTCATATAAATGTATCTTTAGGAGAAGATTTCACAGTGGTAAGTGAATGCAATGCGCTTGGAAGAAGAAATTCATAAATCCTATGGCATTTCTCCCATATCCGGAAAGAACATCTACCTGCTACTTTCTTTTGTGTACAACAACCCATATTTAGAATGCAGCGATATAGTTTAGTTTTTCTGCAGCTGTCCCACAATCTGGACCATAAAATTGTAGTTCCTGATTTTCCCGTTCCTCCTGCCGAGCATTTCCTAGCCACAAGAGTATGAAAGTTCATATTTGGTGCTATTTGTTTTCAGGCCGCTTTCATGGATGTATTTGGGGACAAACTGTTACCCTCCACATTCATTCAGTTACTCTAATTTTGTTCTCCTTCCTTCCTGTGGGTAGGAGTTAAAGAACATATAAATGTGCTGGTGTTGAACCACTTCCTTTACAGAACCGTATCAGTCTAAACAGAGGGTCCAGGCTAACAGTGAGTGTAATGTAATCAAAACACAGTCTTTTGTTTCTATTTGACTTGAAGGCAACCAGCCCAAGTAGCCAGAAAAATATATGGAGATAAGCTGATTCCTCAGCCATCCCTTTGTTTGGAATACCCCACTAGCTGCAGTGAACATAATTCTTCAGGCTAGCTAACTATCAGGTGTCCAGATTTCCCTCTATAAGTAGACTACCTGAACTCATTTGCTGTATATTGATTCTAGCGTATACTCAAATTTTAGCAGACAGAGTTTATGAGATTCTGCAGGTATCAGAACTAACATACATCCTTAAGCATGTAAAACTGGCAAAAGATGCTGGCAATTTCCCCTGGATTTATAGCTCTTTAGAACTGTCTGCATCTTTTCAGCATGGAGGTGCTTGAAACAGTGGAGAGGTGCCAAGCATATGTGCGTACATCCATTTTTTGTCCAATGAAGGCTCTGACCTAAAGACACAATGAAAAGCCGTAAGAGAAAAAAGACAAGAGCATGTCATCCCTGCAGCGAGACACGTGACTGCAGTGAGTGCAGCGCAGTGGGTATTCTCTCTAGCTTTAAACTAGCTAGCTCAGGTCTTGCAGCAGTGTGGGGCTCAGAATGAGGTGTGTGGCTCCTGCTCACGGAGGTTGCGAGTTCCCTTTGCTGGAGAGCAGAATGTAACCCCTGCGGGGTGCTGCAGTCACCTTTGTTCAGACTTGGAAGGAGGCTGTTTTCTAATTGCTGGCAATCCCTTGTGATCCTTCTGCCGCTAACAGGGAATTTTGTTTTTACAGTATTGCGGGAAGCAGATGTAGATTGTTTGACCCTAGGACAGTACATGCAACCAACAAAACGTCACCTCAAGGTAAAAATGCCTTTAATTTACAGGCAGTGTTCTGGTCTGTACCTTGCACTGTCAAGTTTCCTCTTTCTAAATTGAGGCTTGATAATGCAGCCTTCCCTTAACTGCGGATGTTGGGGAAAATGTCCTTCCTTGTTTAACCTGATCTTCATCTGTTACAGACCCTTTGCTAAAAATGACCTCAGCTATCTAATCCCTTCCACCTTCTGCAGGCTTCCCATTGCTACTTGCTGCTGTTAGCTGGGGAGACAGCTGGAGCTGGGGCATGATTCAGGAAAACAAGAGTTCCAGTGTACATCTCAAACATAATGGCTCAAGCCAGCTCCCCTTCACTGTCTCATAGGCTCTCCCTTCATGGTGCCACTTCAGCTGGGGAAGTCACCATTTTCTCGTTCTGTAACCTGTCCAGAGCTTGAGTCTCTGTTCTGTTACTGTGTTTCACTGAAATAACTGTTAGTGAAGAGATTTGTAGGACTATTGTATTTTTTTTTACTAACTTGGACAAAAAAAAAAAGCCTTGCTTGAAAGGACCATTGAAAAACAGTGAAGAAAATGATAAAGCAACAACTAGAAATCAAATTCTAAACTTTTCAGCTAAATATGAAAAGCAAATAAAATGCATTCTTTGGGTAGAAAAGAGAAAATGCAGTTTGTGACTTGGCTGCTGAAAGTTTTGGAGTGCAAAATTTTGAACTTGCAGTGTAACTGTGTTTCATGTCACTACATGCTAGCTATAGCCATTTCCTTTGTATTAATAACAGATCAAAATCAATTCTTTTCACTCAGGTTGAGGAGTATGTAACTCCTGAAAAATTTAAGTACTGGGAAAAAGTAGGAAATGATCTTGGATTCCATTACACTGCTAGCGGGCCTTTAGTGCGCTCCTCCTATAAAGCAGGTAAATTACTGAAAAGCATTAGATTCTTTAGCGCATTACATTTTATTATATAAAGTTAAAACGGTGAAGTAATATGCAACAAAGCTCACCTTAGCTCAAGGACACCTCGTATAGTCATCCTTTTTTTTTTTTTTACATTATTTACGCTCACTATCTTCTATAGATCATCTGAATGCATCAGTATGACAGTAATTGGTATTTGTACAATTGCCGTGCTGCTTAAGATAATTTTTTGCCAGACCTAGTTTGTACTATGCTTCATGCGTGAGGCAGGATAAGGGGTACTCAGTTTGCAAGCTTTCCTTTACATTCTGCCTCTTGGACACTTCAGGGTTTAACAGGGCCCATTGTTGTTTGTGACATAATTTTGTTGCTTTAGGCAGAATTTATACATGGTGCCCTAGAAATAGACACATTTATGGCAGTGCTTTTTATGACAATGCACTGGGTATTAAGTAGCAGCTGATATTAACGGAACTGTTGTATGGGTCCAACATCCCGCTTCTTCTTAAGGAGGGAGCAGAGAAGACTCATCTGGGGCACCTTGCATCTCAGACTGTTTTAATGCCAGCTCAAATGAGATTTATAGCAGGTTGCAATACAAGTTGCTGATACTTTATGAAATAGGAATTAATTTTTAATTAAATCAATTCACCTTTGCCTGTTGGAAAGCACAAAGCAGCAGAGCTATTTCATAAAATTGGGCATGAGGAAAATCAGGATTTTGGGGGTGGAGGGGTTGTTTGTTGGGTTATGGGGTTTGTTAGGGTTTTTTTCTTTGTTACATCCCTGCTGTATGTATTGAAAGTGCTGTGGTACAGAATTGAATTACTATGGAATACAATGGTAAGAACAATTGTATTGTAGAATAGAATTAAATGAGAGTGTGTATTGTTTTGCCTTATTTCACCGAAATACCACGAATCATTTTGGTGCTTTTTTTGCCTTTTAATTAGGTGAATTCTTCTTGAAGAACTTGGTTGAAAAAAGAAAGACAAAAGCCATCTGAAACTGAGAGTGAACCTATTTAAAGCAGCCAGTTTTAAGGATCCTTTTCTTCAGCGCATAATTATACTCAGTTCCAGCAATGCCGAAGACCAGATGGTAGATGTATGAATAAACTTACTATCTGTCCAGAACACTCTCCTCTCACCAAACCACTTCGCACTATTTTACCTAATTCCTTCTGGCAAGGCTACAACTACATAGTACTTTTAGCGTTCAGCAAAAAGTCGGAAAATAGAACTGATTTTGAAAGAGTGATAGAACTGAGGTGGAAGAAATGTAAGCTGAAAAAAAAAAAGACAGATTTAAGTAAACAGGTTTGATACTACCATCAATATTGCTGCAGTTAGGTATTTCTGAAGATGCTAATAACAGGTAATTTGAAAGGCATTGATATTTTGGTGTATCTTACCATTATGTAACACAAGTTTGCAGGGACTCTGGGAAACAGAGGAGTTCTAAAGACTGCGTACATGACGAAGGACCATATTAGGGCTATCTTGAAGCACACCAGAGAAAGTGTCGGTAATGCTCCTTCAAGAGATGGTATCTCTTACCTGCATCTTAAGAAAATGAGCTGTACCATTCTGAGAGCGAATACTTTTCAGGTGCTTGCATGTCTCAGAGTGTGAGCCTTGGGAAACACAAGGTATCAAGCTGAAGAAAACAAGAGCTCTTTCTGGCAAGAGAATTAGCCTTGTAATTTACCGTGTAATTTAAACCATATGGAGGATCAGAGTTGCCATAACAGCATAAATAGAGCCACCCCTAGTTTGGGTATATGACTCTAACAAACCCCACCGAGTTGCACGGGTGCTTCTTCGGTATTGGGTATGCAGAGCTGCTGCTATTCTGTACCGTGCTTCTCCTCCACGGGTACGGTCTCATCATTAAAGGAAAGTTAAAAACCCAGTCTAAGGGTGTGGTGGTTGTGTTTGATTGGTCTGGTTACCTGCCCCCTTGAAACGTGGTCTGGCTCTTAAATCTGAGTGAATGTATCATAGATGAAATGTGAAATCCATTACATGGCATACTAAACTCAAGCAGAAATAAAAACATGGCTTATGGTATATTGGCAGCTGTAAATTCTTCTCTTTACAGTCATGGTAGTTCAAAGTGCATCTCTCCCTAATAATTCTCAGTTGTCTGCTATGGACAATTGCTAACAGTTTTTGAACTGGCTTAAGCTGTATCTTTATGAAGTTACCTGGGAAACATGCCAGGAATTTATGTGGTCCCAAACTCTCATCGTGCAGGTAATCCTATGGTTGGCTGTAGTGCTTGTCTAAAAGACTGTAGTCTGTATGGAGTGGACCCTCCACCTACCCCATACTCAACAAGATCTTAGAAGTAAGGCAGCTAATTAGCAATATACAGGAGAAACTTGGTATTGTCACGAACAACGAAAATCAGATTATACCACTGAGGCCAGTGATGCACAATTGACACTTCACAAAATGAAGTATAGCAATACTAAAGCATTATGAAGACAAATAGCCTTAAGCTAGAAGGAATGTACTAATTAAACAGTATAATGGCAGTGTAAATTAGGGGAAGAGCAGCCTGAGCCATAAAGAACAGAGTGGAAGAACACAGAAACAGAAGTCTTAATATCTGTACTTTGTAAAGGCAAGGCTTTTTTTTTTTAAATTAAAAAATATTAAATTTTAAAGTAAGGATAAATTTTAAAATTTTAATTTGTAAAAAAAAAGTCTGACCACTAGTCTTGGAAAGACCAGGTACACTTTGAGCCTAAAAATGCCCTGCTTCAGCTGAAGTACACCGAATACCAGAGCAGTGGAATATTATCAACTATGGCAAGGAAATTCAATACTCCCTCTGCAGCAGCAAGCAGGGAGGGGTGCGACATTAACTCCAGGATACCCACACATGTTAACAGCTGCCAGCCTTTATTAGAGATCCTACTACAAATAATGGTTTTTGACTCTCCTACAGAGCACATTTAATAGAATATTACTGTAGCTTTTGCCAAGTCACTGCTCTTTCAGCGTATCAACACCAGAAATACGGAAAAAAGAATTCTGAGCCATACAAGCTATTACCAAACTGGGGCAAGAGGACATTGCACAGTAATTATCCATGACACCTTTACAGTGAGAGAAATAATGCTTCTGGAGAGAGTTGGGGTTGTTCAGCCTGGAGAAGAGAAGGCTGCAGGGAGACCTTATAGCAGCCTTCCAGTAGCTGAAGAGGGCCTACAGGAAAGCTGGAGAGGGACTTTACAAGGGCATGTAGTGATCAGACAAGGGGTAATGGCTTTAAACTGAAAGAGGGTAGATTTAGATTAGATATAAGGAAGAAATTCTTCACTATGAGGGTGGTGAGGCACTGGAACAGGTTGCCCAGTGAAGCTGTGGATGCCCCATCCCTGGAAGTGTTCAAGGCCAGGCTGGATGGGTCTTTGAGCAACCTGTTCTAGTGGAAGGTGTCCCTGCCCATGGCAGGAGGGTTGGAACTAGATGATTTTTAAGGTCCCTTCCAACCCAAACCATTCGACAATGATGCTGAAACACAGTCCAATGGTATTTCATGTTAGAATTATTTTATGAATTGCTGCTGGGTGGTTTGGAAGATGATCTCACACTTTTACACAGCTGTCTGCCAGCTGGTACCAAGTTTCAGAAGCTATATAAGCTATTTTCTAACTGCATCTTTTGCTGTGGTTTCTGAGGAAAGCAGGCACATTTTGACTTCATAGATTTTTGTTTGTTTGTTTTCAACTGTCTTTGAGGATCTCTCACAATTTGTACTATAAAAGTGTCAAGTCTTAAAGTTTTTTTTCCTAGTTAAGAAATACTGCTTTTACAACTACCTTCCTTCCTTATTGCCCATTTAGTTGTTTCACAACTATGTTAAAGCACCAAACTCTCACAGAACTCCTGGTTATAAATTCAGCACAGGTTTCACGACTATCTCAGTTTTGTTTCCGATTAAGTTTTATGTTTAGTGACATTTTCTTTTTGTACGTCAATCACTTCATTCTGTCAGTTTGTTTCACAAAGCAGCCATAAAATATCTTAAGAAATATTAATCTTCCTTGCAATCAGGAAAACATCAGACTGAGTTTTCGGAATATGATTTCAAGTTGACACAGACACTTTAAAAGAATGGTCTTTTTTAGCATCATTACATCAGTCTACCACACTGTGTGAAGCATAATTAAATATTGTGCAGCTGACTAGAGAACTGCTGCATCTTCCAGTGACTTCAAGTCTTCAGGTTAAATCAACAAAGCCAGAGTGTTTATTTAAGAATAGTTTTAAATTTTTTTCCTCCTTGATCAATAATTAATATTGGTGTCCCCTTCATTTAAAAATAAAATGTGGAGTATTTATGCTTCTTTACTACAATAGGTGGCAACTTATTGCAGATGTTCAACTTGCAATAAAAATTCTGTTTGGAATAGAAAAAGCAAGTAATGAAAATTGACTCCCATATTCCTAAAGCAATCACAGATAATCCATTATGCTTTCCTGCATGGCTTTACAATTAATTTCAAGCTTTAGCTGTTGAGCAAGATTATAGCACTACTGTAAATTCCAGATCAACAGAAGAACCTCAAGTGACAGACAGAAGTATAAACTTGTTGGCCAGTACAAAATCTCACCGCTAACTGCTCCTATACTAACTAGTTGTTGTCAAAAATGAGCTTGTCCTATTCACTTGCAATATTCTTGCCTATCATATGCCTGGAACCAGGCTGGTTTTAGCCGCACAAAGGGTTGAACACACATGCACAAAAGAAAAATTGTACATCTTGCCTGGCATTTACAATTTGTCTATGCATGTCTTGGGTAAGACTTAATTTATGCAGCCTATATCATACTATTCATAGGCTTGTATTTAAGCTGGATTTGCTTCACCTGTTGTATTCGCATTTTTGCAGTGAAAAGCAGTGTTACTGTGGGATTTCATTTTATTAAGAACCCCATAAAAAGAATTTCAGAGCACAGGAGTCCATTACTCATATTACACAATTCTCATCAAGAATTACATGCTGTAAGATCCCATAGACAAAGACTCGATAGCATTAAAACGCATCTCTTAAATGCGCCACTCAAGCCTTGAAAGCAGGAATGAAAGTCATCTCCGATTCTTATTTCCCTGGCAACTGTACTCTGAAGGGGACAGCTTATAATTCAGAGTGCTGCAAAAGCTTCTGAAGCTTGCTCTTTCGGCCCGTGGTAAGGTTCTCTTGTATATATATGCAAGCTAAGTATTTCAGTATCCTCAAGGCATGCACCAACAGCTGTTCAGACTCGATTCATCCCATAATGCCAGTGTCCCATTAAAAGAAAGCAGCCGCCAAGAAACCGAGTAAGCTGACTCTCCAAGAAAGCAAGGGAAATGCCAGTACCAGTTTTACCCCTTGTTGCTTTCAGAAAGGATCTGCCTTTCCCTCTTTCCTAAGAAAGGGGAGTTAGAGTGATCCCACTATAATGAACTTCCCCATTCTTTATCTTCTTTACAATTAAGCCATGAGTCACTATCCAGGCTTTGACTAAGTCTGTAGGAGAAACAGAATAGGGGTATAGCACCTAGTTCCTCTGTCTGTTTGGGACGGCATGTGAAAAGCCACTGGGAGCCTGGGGAACATCAATCAGCCTTACCGCTCTTGCACATTCCTAACAGGAGCAATGCTGAAGCAAGCATTAAACACAGGAGTTTAATGGTTCATCTGTCTACTTCAAACCAATGAGGACAGGTCCCATAGAGAGGCACCACGATTACAGCTGTGTGCAAGTTTCTGAAAAGCATCCTGATTTTCTGAAGCCTCTGCTCACCCTCCCTGTTAAGCTGAGGCCTGAAGCAGTGCTGTGCTACCCTGAACATAGGTCAGGACAAGAGACCCTTCGAGCACAAACTTGTCAGTAGTCTCTTCTGAATCTCCAAGGAGAAGTGACCAGTTTGCCCTCAGGTGCTACGGGGGCAGAGGTAGTCAAGAAGATACCTACCTGCAAAGACAGGGTGATCTACCAGTAGGACCACAATGCTTACAAATACCACAACTTTATCACAGGGTTGTCCCTGCTCTGCGGGTGTTGTATGAGAGGAGCACTAGTGAATCGGGAAGAGGAGACGGCATGATGAAAGATGACAGTTTAAGTGCCCAT